AAAAAAAAAAAAAAAAAATGACCACTTTAAAACTGGACTTACAGAATTCTGGGAAGAGAGCACTCTCCAGACCACATTGCCATTATATTCATGCCAACATAAAGGAGCTGGAAAATGGTTATATACTTGTCTAAAAATTGCCTGTTGGCAAAAATATTAAACAGATCTTGTTACTAGTAAATGCCTGATTCTGTCACTACGTTGAGTGTAAGTCTTCTGTATCAGAAATAATGATTTGTTCCTAATATATTTTTCAGTGCCCCAGGAAAAAAAATCATCCTTTTCATTCTTTCATTTTAAAGCTATAACCCTTTTGGCTCAAGTACACGGCCATCAGCCCAACCCTTAATTCAGTTAATTGTTCCCATTCTGGAAAGCACTCCTGTACTTGCTTAGCTGTAGTGACCTGGGAAGACTGACTAGAGTTGTGTATCTACTATAGTTACAGTTCATAATGCATTTCCAGAACTGAAATATTTTGGTAACAGAATTTATAGTAGTATATGATGACTGCTTTATAATGCTCACTCTAATTTTTTTTAAAGGAAAAATCATGCCAAGATTTAAAACATCAACTCCAAGTGCAAACAGAATCTGTTGCTAAAGAACGGAATGAGTTGAAAAATTCACTTGAAAAACAGGAAGGGGTAAGATTCCCAACTTCATCTATCAAATAAAAAGACTGCTTTTAAATTACATATTTAAATTAAATTACATATTGAAGGGGACAAAATAGTTATTCTCTCAAAGGCCCTAAGACAAAGTGATACTTGTAGAAGATTGTATGGATTTTAATATGGTCCCCTCTTCTCTTCCATGCCCAGGATACAGTTACAACATTTGGTCCTTGTCCATCTGCCTTCTTGTATGTCTTGAATTTTGGTGTGTGTGTGTGTGTGTGTGTGTGTGTGTGTGTGTGAATTGTTAGGTATTTGAATTAACATCTCTTAGAAAGATGACAGTTCATATCTCTTGATGTGTTTTGGGCTTAGACATCTGCTTACCCCTTTTTTAGTATGCTGTCTGCAGTTTTGGAGGAAACAAAATCTTCCCCCAAACAGTTATCTTTGTAAATATAAGGGGTAGTCTGAATTTTTAACAAACAAACACTTAAATCAATCATGTTACCCTAGAATTTAAAAAAGAAGGGACCTGCTAATAAGTTTTTTTTATGGCATTGGCCCTATTCTGCTCCTGTGTTATAAAGAAAATCCAAACGTTTAGAAGTTATTAACTGTAAATCTGAAATGTAGTGCTATACAACACCGACTAATAACGATTATGGTAAAAGTCATATGTGACTTTTTTTTTAAATACAGATTTCTAAGCAGTTGACAGTAGAGCTTGATTCAATACGAGGACAAATAGTGGAATTTCAGAGTCTTCTGAAAGAGAAAGAAAAGAGCGAACAGAATCTCCAGGGGAAACTGAGAGAGCTAAAGGAATCGTTTGATCAGAAGAAAAGACAAAATGAAATGTTGCAGGCTGAATTAAAAGCTGCCCTTTTGGAAAAGGTAGTTCTAGATTCTGTTCATTCCTCTTACTTATAAAGGAAATTGGTATGAACTCTGGGGCATGATGCTGTTTCTGGGTCATTATCTAGGTGATGAAATAGCTTTGTCAGGAATGGCTATATGTTTCAGCTACTGCAAGACCAGGATGTGGAGTTAAACCCATCAGATATTGTTCATGGTTGAAATGAAAAAAGCATTTGAATATGAGGCCCCAATACTGAATTATGGGATTCTATGAAATTACTATATGCCACTGAATTGATAAAACTAGCTAGACCTGCTGCATTCACTTTACTGCATCCAGAGGCAGCATTGCAAAAGGTGCTATCTTGTGCAGCAGTAGGCAGTGCCATGAAAGTAGTTCAGACACGAATGTTTTAGCATTTCAGTATCTGGTAGTTTTAAACTAACTTTGTGCAGTAAGAAAAATGTCTTGATATCATTTGAACATTGTCCATTAAGGTAAGAAATTCAGACAGTATAGCCATAGGCAGATTGGCGCTTGTGGATTTTGCTGTTACGAGGCTGAGTTGGAACATTTTGTATCTAGCGAAACTGTATTGCAGCAGCTTCCTACTGTTCTGCCAGTGGGAATTAAAGGACTTAAAATATTATTTAGATGTTTAAAAACTGGCTGGTCTCTTAGAAAAGGTAATGCTTAGAGTGTAATTAAAAGAGAGGCAATTTAAATCTCTGTGTTAATCTAAGATATTACATTTGATTTAAGCCTACAAGAGGCTGAATATAACATAACTCAGTAATCTGCCCTTGCTCAATTTTGTATCTGGTGTGAGTGGTGGCTGCTAAAGTTTGTAGCATGAATAAAAAATAAAATCATTTTTGTGTTTTTAATTGATAATTCCAATATTTTGTATGATGTGTGCGTTTCAGGCAGAATTAGAGAACAAACTGCAGCAACAGACAACACTGTCAGCACAGGAACTTAAAGCAGAGAAAGGAAAATTAGCAGAATTGCAGAAAGTCCACGAAAAACATCAAGAAAATATGGAAAAACTTCAGCTGGATCTTTATGGTAAAGAGTCTGAACTGCTGGCAACAAGGCAAGACCTTAAGGTACAATAAGTCATTTTAAGGTCAGAAGCGACTTAATAGATCCATTTACTTCAGGATAAATACAAAGGAGCCAAATTAAATTTACATAAAGGAAAATATGCTTACTATGTTGTTATTTTTCCTTCTTTTTTTCAGGACAAAGCACATACTGGAATTAATTTAAATGCCAAGTGCATTGTCCTGACATAGAATGCCCTTCTGGTTCACAATATTTTGTAGCAGTAATATTTGGGTTGCCAGAAGAAATTAAAAAAATTAAAAAAATAAAACTTTGTCAAGAGCGTGCCCTCCAAACTGACCTGTAGAATGCTCTTCCTTAGTCTTATCCTTAAATATACTGTAGTTCCTGGCGCACATACTAATGAGGGCAGCCATCTTGCTGACATGCTAGGAATAACCCAAATCCTGTTTCTTCCAGAAAATATATCTTTTTTAATTCTTCTCTTTTGACACAAGTGTTGATAATGCTTCTTAGCTTACATTCCTACAGCAGACACATTCATTCTGCATTGCTGTACTGGGGTCTCAGTTGTTTTGGCTATATTGTATACAGTATCTGCTCAACATGTAATTTTTAAAGAGTTTTTTTGTGGAGAATCTGAAGCTGGAATGCCAAATATAAGCAATTTGGTCTTGTTAGTGTTTGGCTGGGAAATCTTCAAGAAAGCTCAAATACTGCTGGAATGTTAGCAGGTAACAAGCACTCTTTCCTCTGAGCCAGTGTTAGACCCTTGTCTCATTTGCTGTTTAATGTTGCTTTATTTGAGAGGTTGTCTTTTAGGAAGAGGGGTAAAACTTGGCTCTGATCATTCACAGTCATTAAAAGACTCTTGGTTCTTTCAGAAAGGTGGGCGTACTGATTTTGAGTGCCTTAGCCAAACTCCAGCTTGCGAGTTAGTCTTCCTCCCTACAATATTACCCACTGCTCTTGGTTAAAGAGTTTGCATTAATCTTCTGTTAGTGTAGATTGCATGCTATATTCTGTTGAAGTGGCAGCTCAGATTCAGCAATGGTTGAGTGAGTCCCTGGATTCAGTCTGGAGTGTTTTGGGATGGTTATAAAATGACAATAGTTAAAAAAAAAATTCTATTTCATAGAGACTAAAATATACCAACCAAGTTTGAACTTACTTCCCTTGACTCATTTAGACCATTATTTTGTAATGGATGTTACCTGTGAAAGTATTGGGCTGACTCTGCATGGTATTATGCTTTCTTTGTGAACAGATACACTTCTGAACTATTAGCTGTTGCAAATAATGCTCGTCTGAGGTATATGTAAAGTAGACCACAGGGGCAGCTATCAGAATTGGAAAGAATTGCACTGTACATGTTTAAAATAGGGCTGCTACTGCTCTCCGTGTTTCAACTTCTGCATAGACAAAGGTGAGATGAGTGACGCAATAGGAACAAATTGTAGATTGATGTTCCTATGGAGTTTTTACAGCGGTGCCTAGAAACCCCAAACAAAGTCAGTGCCCTTTGTTGAAGGGCTTTTTAAATATTTGCTTTTTTCCTTTGCAAGCTTTTGGGGTCAGATGCTCTTCATCAGGCAAAGGTGAAGTTAAAGATGGTAAGAGTTCTCCTGGTTAGAAAAGAAGCTTCATCAGGCCAAGCAGGAATTGGGGATGGTAAGAGTTCTCACAGGTAGAAAAGCTAGTTTGTAAAAAGCTGCTCTGTGAGAATGCAGATGAGGAGGAGACAATGACTGGTGCAGGCAAGATACCTGGGGTTTTCAGATAGCAGGCAGGATGTGGGGTACCATAAATCCGGTGTTAATATTTAGTCCTTGGAGAGTATATGTTGCTTGGATAGTATATGTTGCTGTTGAATTTGGCTTCTTTCTTCTTCACATTGTGAAGTTTCCATTTCAAACAGCAAAATCCAATATCTTCCAACATCTCTGAAAAAAAAGAGCAACCCATAAAAAATTAAGAACTGTGAGCTTGATTTGAGGCTGGATGCAAGTGTTGATGGGCAGATGGAGCAGAGCAGTACCACCTTGTGTCTGAGTGGGAACTCCATGCAGCAAGCTGTTAGTTAGGGCTTTGTGGCCCATTGGGCCTCTGTAGTCCATCCCACCTTCAGCCACTGTTACCATTGTGTCCCGTTGACCGTCGCCTGCCTGGAATGGCTGTTTGCCTCACAAGTAGGCAGGGCTGCGTGGCCCTGGGCAGTCTGAAGCAGAAAGCAGATTTCCTAATGCGCACACAAGCTATTGCAGATCAATATTAGTGGTAACTTCTGACATGTTAAGGTAGGGTTGGTCAAAATAGTGGATCCAGCCAGTGACTGGACTCCCATTTCCCAGCAGCCCCTGCTTGCATTACTCTGGCAGGTCTCCCCCAGGAGCAGAGGGGCTGTGGCAGCGCAGGGCCAGGGTCTTCTTGGAGACTGGCACAAGTGGCATGCAGATGGGTGGGAAGCTTCTCTGGGGCTGGGGCAAGGGCCAGGAGCTTGCAACAGTGACAGCGTAGGCTGGAGCCAGGGCAGAGCCGCAGTCCACTGCCTGCCCACCTCTGGGTAGTGGATCGTGGCTCTGCCTTGGCTCTGGCCTGTGCTGTCATCACTGTAAGATCCTGGCCTCAGAGTGGCTTCCCACGCAGCGGTGCACCTTGCCAGCTCAGTTCGGGCTGGTCTCCATGGAGACCCTGCCCCGTCCTGTCTTGAAGCCCCTTAATCTTGGGCGTACTATTGTTCAGAGTATATACTTAAAACAATTTAGTAGAAAATGTTTCATAGTTGGTAGGGTTGTAAGGGACCTGAGCAGATCATCAAGTCTGACCCCCTGCCATGGCAGGAAAGAGTACTGGGGTCAAACGACCCTGGCAAGATGTTCATCCAGCCTCCTTTTAAAGACCCCCACGGTAGGAGCCAGCACCACTTCTCTTGGAAGTTGGTTCCAGATCCTAGCCACCGTGACAGTGAAGTAGTGCCTCCTGATGTCTAGCCTGAATCTACCCTCTGCCAGCTTGTGACCGTTATTTCTTGTCACTCCTGGTAGTGCTCGGGGGAACAGGGACTCCCCCAATGCCTGCTGGTCCCCCTGACTAGTTTGTAACAGGCCACTAGATCCCCCCTCAGCCTTCTCTTGTGGAGGCTGAACAGGTTCAGGTCCCTTAGCTTCACCCTAATCATGTGACTGGCCCTCCTCTGCCAGGGGTCCCGCAGTGACCTCTGCTAATTCCCTCAGCACTGTGGGGTGGAGATCGTCAGGACCAGCTGATTTAAATACGTCCAGTCCCTCCAGAAGTTCCCTGACTAGATCCTCACTGACCCCAGGCCTGGGTGCGCCTCCCCTGGGGCCTGTGGGAGTCCCGGTGTAGGGGTTGACACGTTCGTTCCCTGCTCAGAACAATGGAGGCAAAGAAATTGTTAAATAGGTTAGCTTTGCTGTCTGGTGCAACAACCAGATTTCCTAGTGTGTCCTGCAGAGGCCGCACGTTACCCGGTACCTTCTTTTTACCCCTTATGTATTTAAAAAAGGACTTCTTGTTGTCCTTCATCCGGGTAGCTAGTCCCAGTTCCATCTCCGCCTTGGCCTTCCTGACTGCCCCCCTATAGCCCCGAGCAACAGAGGTATAGTCCTCCCTGGTGATGGCCCCTCCCTCCCATCGGGTGTACACCTCCTTTTATTTTAGTTAAAGGAAGTAAAAGGAAATGTTATTGTCCATACAGTCTAAAATGCTAGCAAGGAAGCATTTGGATAGTTGACAATTAATCACTGAACTCTGGAAATTCTTTCAACAGAGGAGTTATATAAATCTCAAGTGCAACCTCTACCACCCATTGGCTACACAAAAGTATGCAGCGGTGGGGGGGGAGCTGATATCAAATAGATCGTTAAGCCAGATCCTTACCATTTGGGTCTGATACCCACCCAAATTTTGCCTGGGTGTTATAGATCCCTGGTATAGCTTAGTTTATTATAGATAGAAAATATCTTACTTGCAGCTGGTTTGAAACATCTGAAGCATTATTTTCTTTTTTTATAGACTAACAAATCCTGAAACATACGAATTTAAATGATCTCAGTTTTCTTTTGCATCAGGACTTTTAGCAGAGCCAACATAGTCACTGCAGACCAATGCTGAGCTCTCGTGATTTCAAGAGAAGCTTTAAATAATCTTGATTAAGACTGTGGGAGGAGATCATTTCTTTGTTTTAAATTTTCTCTAAAGAAAAATAAAATTGGAAAGGCCAAACGGTTTAACAGAACTTGGCACAAGGATGTTTGGGAAGCAAATGTTACACACGTATGTAGGGATGCAAAGTCCCTGTCACACATTTGAGATGACCTGAGGGCTCCTATAGTTTCTGGGTAGGATTGCAGGGCATGTGTTGTACTGTGCTGACAGCACCATCTACTGGCATGTATAAGGAATATCAGTGTGAGGCTGTTGAGCTGTTTGCTGACCAGCTAAAGGAACTGGGAGGATACAGTATGATGAAAAGCAAGTGAGAGCTGTTTAAATGAAGTCTTGTATTTGAATATTTAGGTGACTATTATGTGAAGGCTAGACGTAGATCAGACAACTTCTTCAGTATACTCCATTCCTCCTCGTCCTCCTCCTCCTTCTCCTATCAACAGAGTTGAAGGATGGAAGGACTGGTTAATGTCAAAGCCTGGGTTATAATAAAAGAACATGCCACCTAACTTTACCATCAGCCAAAGTGAAAAGAATTGGTTAAGTAGGAGGCAGTGGAAAGTGGGACGGTGATAGAAATAATACATTAATCATTTAAATTTACATTATTTAAAAAATAGTTTATGCAAAATAGTATATATATGGTTTAATTAAAAACAAATTAAAGATATGACTTGTCCCTGCCCCACAAAAGTTGTCAAACCGTTTTACATTGGATGAAGTTAAGTGTGTAAGTGATGTTACTGTTAAACTATGGTATGGACTTTAACTCATCCTATATTTTAACTGCACTAAAGCTTTTACTGCATTTTATTCAATGACTAATGCAACATGCATAAATATCATTGGGAGTTGGACCAAAACCAAGAGATCCCTTACTTTCTCTTGGTGAAGTGCCTGCCTCTGCTTGGTTGTGGAAACAGGCTACGTTTTGCTTGTTAAGTGAGCATCTCTCCTAGGACAGTTGGGTGCTCCATCATCTGGGATCGCTGTGCAGGCACCTTTATGAGATGCATAAGGGACAGACATTTGCACCTGCCACTGTGCTTAGCATTTGCTTTGGCTGCCTTCGGGGACTCCCTGCTCAGTGCTTCTGTGTCCTGGATGTTCTTAAGGCTGCTCAGCAAGAGAAGAGTGCCAAACCTATCTCCTGGGCAGAAAAAGATTGGCCTCTGGAAGTGCATAAAAAAAGTTTTACCAACTTCAGTTAAAATTATGGCAACCCCTTAAAAATGATGTAAGAAAAGATGGTTGCTTTCCACTTGGTTTCTGGACCTTTTCACATGAACTTCTTAACATTTTTTCAAGTTGCAAGCTAGAAGCTTTTTCAGCAAAACCTGAGATACTTATATAGTCTCATAACTCCAGGACCTACAGGCTTAAGAAAACATGAAATGTTCTGAAACTTGGGGGAGGAAAGTGACTGATTATCATGTGAGTTTGGAATGCTGTAATAATAGCCATCTTTTTATTATGAGTGAAAGTACCCTGGAGGAAAAAAACAAGCTTAAATCTTTGGATTTATTTTTTTTAAGAGGTCATCAAAGACATTTAAATCTAAATGACACTTTTATTTGATGGCAACTGTCATCATTTGTATACAGCAAGGACTTTTTAATTTAGATGTGGTTAAAAGTGAAGTAAATTGGGACTTGAATCTTGTTATGACTTCTGTGAATACATGCTTGTACCTTCTCAATAATTTTATGTTCCTTTGCTTTTTGCTAGGGTCAAAGTTTTCCTGCAGCACTTTTTTAGATTGAATTGTAAACTTTTTCAGATCACTACCTCCGCTCCTACTTTAACTTTTGCTGTGATTGATAGTTGTTTGCTTCTCTCATAATTGCTCATCAGCTGTTAACTTAAGTGACCAGTTTGAGTAACTGGGCATGTCTACACGAGATGCTAAAGGCACAGTAGACTAATTCTACTGTGTTTTAGTGGGGCAGGCAAAACCTGTGCTAGTGTGCAGTGTTGTACCCTCCACTCACTCTAAATTAAACTTTGCTTTAAAGAATTAACCTACAGAGCTACTGAGCATTAGTGCTCAGCAGCTCTGATTACAGCATATTAAGTTAGTACCTGTAATTACAGGCACTAAACTTAATGCGCCATAATTACAGTATATCGGTTGAACGTGTAGACTTGCCCACCAGGTGGTAAAGGTAATTGCCTTCTATGATGGCTCCCAGAATGAATGTAGGCATTCTCCTAACAATATAGAGTACAGTTCTTGCCTTGAAATGTTGGCTCTCTCTAGGGAAGGTAACAAAGCATTAGAGAAAGGGATAAAACAGAGTCTGGATTGTTCTTTGGCTCTCTAGGTTAATTCTTTAAAGCAAAGTTTAATTTAGAGCGAGTGGAGGGTACAAAACACATTCTAAATAAATAATTAAAAGATTATCAACACAACACGTGTGAATGTTAGTAATGGAAGAGCTAACAAAGTTCTAAACAATTTTAGAATAGGATGCAAGGTAAATTAGTTTTGGAAAGCCCTTTTTTTAGGTGCTTACTGCCAGCCTTTTGCTCATTAGTACCCTATAAAGCTGTGGCATCTCATTTGTTTGGCTTTGCTCTCTTCTATATTCATTCTCTCTGTCTCTGTATTTCTCTGTCTCTCTCTGTCCCCTTTGCTATGGTGAAGATATTGCCCAGTTACATTCACCATTGTTTTGAATTCTTTTCTGCTTGCATCCTTGCGCATGTGAAATATAATCTATGCAATCCTATTATTATACCCTACAAAATGTTGCTTTTCCTACTGCAGTGTTTATGTGAATATTATGTGGTCTTTGAATCTAAAATGGAACCAATCCCTGCTTTAGATTTTGTTTTAAAAAGAAGAAAGAAAAACTATAAACCCCAAACCCTTTAATTGTATAATTATTGTAATTGAAGTTTGCAACTATTATAAGGGGAGAGATTTTCTTTGGGACAGTAAGGTGTAGACTCTAGGTCTTAAAAACTTTTATGGGAATATCTGAGCTTTTCTACTAGATAAAAAGGATGGTTGGATGTCAATTAAAATAAAATATGTGTAGTGGAGTTGCAAGAATGGTTCAATTCAGGTTTTAAAATGCTTGATTTAACTGAGACCATAAAACATTTCATTCTGAAAATATGTTAAAGGTTAGCAACTCATATGCTATGCATTATGGCTTGCACGTTCAAAGCACTTGGGTCTTGTTAAAACAGGAATGCAGCTGAGCCTCAGAATGCAGTACCGAGTGCTTCTGAGAAACCCCACACTATAGATTTCTCAGTTCTCGGTGTGTTCAACTACCTTCAATTCAGTGTGCCTAGAGATGAGAACATATTTGTAAGAGTTCATTTTCTGCTGTCTTTTCCACTACACAGTTGAAACATGTAAGCTACACTTCTGTTGCTGGGGATGTTATGAGGGAAGGCTCTCTTTCCCTAGAAGTTGCTAGCTGTGTTCTAAAATTAACAACTAAATAGTACACATCAAATGCTGATCTCTCTGTAAAGATGTGTAACACAAATGTTTATATTATTTTGGCTAATATGGAGCCCTGGCTATTGCAGCTGAGTACTGACAGCTTATTGCTATTTTTGTAATTAGTCCATAGAGGAGAAACTCGCTTTGGCTCAGGAGGATTTGGTTTCAAGCAGGAATCAAATTAGTAGTCATAATCAGTTGATCCAAGAACTTAAGAAAATGCAGTCTACCTTGGAACAGGATGTGTCAAAAAAAGAACAGCACCTGGAGGAGCAGAAAAAAATGTTGCAAGAAATCCAGAAAGACAAGGTATCTTGCTTATCCACCTCTTTCTTCTTTTCCTTTTCTAATTTAAACTTATTTAAAGATACATTAAGATTTCTCAGTGTGTGCTATGGTAGTTTATGCTTAAAGCTGTTTATTGGACCACTGATATGGAAAGATTTTAAATATTTGAAATGATAGTCTAATTCAAACCAAAGTTGGCAAAATTTAATTTACTGTAAGATTCAAATAAACAGATTTCCGGTTTTAAAGATCAATCAAATGATAGGTTTTTCTCTCTAAGTTGGTTGTGAGCAGAGAGATAAGGCAGTCATGTTTCATCAGAAATCTTTACAATGATACATTTCCCCCAAACATTAATTTTGGAACTGTCCCCTTGAGTGTGTTCTTTATTTTTTTTTGGACTTTTTTTTGTGAAGGTTTTGAAAGAAAAAGATTTGGTGAATGAAAAATGTAAAACAACAGAACTCCAGGAAATAAAAAATAGGCTAGAAAAAGAGACTGCTAGACTGAATGAAGAGCTTAGAACCTACAAGCAAGAACTGCAGAAGGTATGTGGAGATTGCACCTCCAGGTAGTGAGGTGGAAGTGGAAGAATATGCCCTTACACGACATGTATAAATTGTAATTCTCTGTTTGCTTTGTGAATAGAGTGGTATTAAATAATACTGTTTTTCTGTTCTGTTAAATGGCCTCCTGAAGGTTAAAAAACAGTACTGACTCAGTAATAATCAAGGATCTGGGTTTTCCATTCACCACGGAAAAACATGATAAAACCCGGATTTTTTCATTTTAAGGAGAAAAAGGTGGGAAATAGTGGGTTTCCCCTTGTAGGCAGGCAGAGTTCCAGCCTGTAAGGGGCTGTGGGGAGTGGGAGGAGTGCAGCTGGGCAGGAGGTGCCATGTGCATGTGTGTGCTTACACATGCACATGGCAGCCTGGAGAGCTGCTCCCCACAGGTAAGTCTGGTGGGGGAGTTTTGAGGCCCCTCATAGTGAGGAAGGGAGTGGAGTGGGACTGGGGCTGCTGCTGAGCCTGGCTGGTGTGTGGCTTGGGGCCAGAATGTGTGGCTGCAGGGCCCGGGCATGAAGTGGGACAGAGCAGTGGGAGGGATGTCTGGGGGGCAGCAGCGGGGCTGGCTCCCTGCTGCTACTCCCAGAAGGCTCATGGGAGGCACGTGCTCTCCAGATTTGTGCACCCTGTTGTCCCCCCGACAGGGCCTCCACAGCTCAGCAGGTGAAACTTGGTGGGGCAGGGCAGAGCAGGGCAGAGAAACTCGGTGCCACCTCTGAGCCCTGTACTACCATGGTGAGGCTCCCTCTTCCTGCCTGGCACTAGCAGGGTGGCAGCGCAGAGTTGTGCCCTTTGCTGTTGCTGGATGGGCATAGGGCATCTCATCTTGGCAGCTCAGGGCTCACAGCAGTGGCACCAAGTTTCTCAGCCCAGGCCCACCCTGCCCTGCCACGTGGGCTTCTGCCCCCTAGGCCGCAGAGGCCCCAGGGGGAGGGCAGCAGAGTGGGCAGCCTGTATCCCTCCACCCCCTGGGCTCTGCACTGGCTGTGCTGCCTGTGGGGGAGCGGGAGCCAGGCTCTATGCTCCACTGTCCCGCAGCAGCCACCGCCTCCCACAGGTGGCATTCAGGGCTTGGGTGTTGCTGCGCGGGACAGGGGGCTGCAGATGTGGGTCTCTGGCCCCATAGCTCTGGCAGCTGGGGCCCCCTCTGGCAGGGCTGGGGGTGGGGGCTGTGGGTGGGGAGCGAGGAGCAGCAGCAAGACCCAGGAGGCTGTGGGTGGCAAGCGAGAGGCACTGGCAGGGCTTGGGGAGCTGTGGGTGGGGACTGTGGGGCACCAGCATGGCCCAGGGAGCTGTCATTGGGGAATGAGGGGCACCAGCAGGGCTGGGAGGCTGTGGGTCAGGAGCAAGGGGCAATGGCATAGGCAGGGCACCAGCATACCGGGGCTGCTCAGCACCACAAAGCTGGATTTGCATCCTGGTGAGCGAAAGGGGCAGGGTAGCTCTGATTTTCCATGATAAAAACCCCCAAATCAAACGTCAAAGTGTATGGGTATTTAGAGTGTATTTTATTATAGTGATTGAGGCACTGGTAGGCTTCCAGATTTGTCTTAAAATTGTAAATACATCAATAAAACATTGTGTTCACTGGATACCTGTATGTACATGGTGTTTATAAAGTCCCTGTGCAACTTCAAACATTAATAACTTTGGCTGTACACATGATAGAAGCAAACTGTAAACGGTGATTGAAAGCAGAATTCATTAAGTTTTAACACAATACATCTAAAATTTCTAGACTTCAACATGACTGCCATCTTTTGTGATACATTGTTCAATCCAATTTTCCAACTGATTTTGAAAGTTATTTTCTTTTTCCGTTACGGGGCCTGAAATAAAATGAAAACAAAATGATGCTTACATTATGTTAAAAAAACTTAATGAATTATGCTTTCAATCGCCATTCACAGTTTGCTTCTATCGTGTATATCCAAAGTTGTTATAGTTTACATTTGCACAAGGACTTTATAAACACCCTTCATAGTGGCATTTCATTTTAATCATGGACAAACGTGGATTTTGGGAGTTTTAATCAGAGAATTTCCACGATTTTTAAAATTGGAGAATTTGTGATTTTTGAATGGAGGAAAGCAGTATCCCTAGTAATAATCCAGGTCTCCCGAGTGCTGTTACCTAGTCTCCACCTCTCTCTCTCCTTTCTTTTTTTAAAGTGAGACTGCAAGTGATTACCTTTCATTTAAGGTTTTTAACAAAGGATAGGAAATGAGACAGCTTCTCTGTGTGCTCCAACTACTCAGAAGTTGGAGCTTTTCACAGTGTTTCCCTTCTTGCCTTCCCTACCCACCAAACAAAATCACCAGATTTCCTAGTATGTTTATAAATACTCTTGTTATTAAGGGAAGTATAACAAGAGGGTCAAAATGGTCTTGCATATCTGTTTTCAACCAGAGAAAGAGATTTATTTTTAATTTGGAGAAAGGGAAGAACACTTTGCTCATAGCCCATAAGTTTATAGAACACATTTCTATATAGTATTACATTTAAATGGCTAAATCAGTGTGGCTGAAACTTTTTGAAAATTATTTTTTGGGATCAAGCTACATGCAAATGACTGTCTTTTTTCTTAAGGAAAAGTAAGAATTTGGAGGTCCAAATGGAATTTTTAAAATAATTCTTAAACGTTTTAATAACATTTAATACATCAAAGTATACTTCATTTCACATATTTTACTACTTAGGTTTTTTCTGAAATACAATACTTTTAAAAAGCTGTTGGTTCATTTTCTACATTTTATTAGGTGCCATTTTTCTGGGTTATAAGACGGACGTTCCCAGAAAGTGAGGGGACAGGATGGGCGGGAAGGTAGAGGTAAAATTGTCAAAATCAAGAGACTAGGATGCATTTGATTTGATTTTTGGTCAACTTCTATTACAGTGATTTCAATTATTTTTCAGTACATATCTTCAATATATAAGATGCATCTTAATTTTAGGTCTCCTTTGTGGTGAAAGTTTTATATGCTGGGAAGTATGGTTATAGCAATTTATTTTGTTAGACATCTAATGTTCAGGGTGGCTGGGCCAGTAAAGACATAATCCCTGATTTAAAAAGCCAACACAGCAACAGTAACAACAATAATAATGTATGGGTTTAAGATTATTTCTAGAAATTAGAGTAAAAACATGTTTTTACTTCCAGAAACAAAAGGTATGTTCTCTGTCTCTGTCAAGCAGTCTAGTCCCAATGCTATCCTGGATATTGTAAGAGCTAAATAAAATTCTCATTCACTTCCTAAAACTTCTCCTTTAAAGAAGGAAAAAACGTACGCAACCGCAGACAGTCAAATTGAGATGTCAGATTTATAGTGATTTCCTGGGCCCTGTGCAAGTACTCAGACTGAAAGCAAAACCACCTCCCATTATGTTGTGTCATCCACTCAAGAAATTGGAAAAGGTGGGGAAAAAACTGTGTAATCTCAGGGTACTTTTTTCTGTCTCACCTTGCAGATCTTAAGATCTTATTGATTTTTTTTTTTTTTTTTTTT